CCAAGCATATGAAACTCCACATTATTTTTTGTTGTGGGTCCCCTCTAGTAAAACAGGGTACCCCCCTCCGTCTTTCTTTCCCTTTCCTACAGTCTAAGGGTCCAAGCATATGAAACTCCACAGTATTTTGTTGTGGGTCCCCACTAGTAAAACAGGGTACCCCCCCTCCGTCTTTCTTTCCCTTTCCTACAGTCTAAGGGTCCAAGCATATGAAACTCCACAGTATTTTGTTGTGGGTCCCCACTAGTAAAACAGGGTACCCCCCTCCGTCTTTCTTTCCCTTTCCTACAGTCTAAGGGTCCAAGCATATGAGACTCTGTGAGAGCTGTGAGTGGGCCTTCCCAGGGATTCTCAAAGGGCACTTGCTGCTGCACATACCGGGGCGTGGAGGAAGGAATGGCTTTGCTAACTGAAGCGACCCCCAGACACACACGCTGTTATTAAGAGCGATGGGCACAAACAAAGCACCTGTCCTTTCACAGCTAATAGTGCTAGGTGGGGAGGATAGAAGCATTGAGCCCCTCTCTCCCAGCCAAGGCCCTGATCCAAACTGGGGCAGTTGCAGTAGTCCGTTAAGCTTCGCCAGAATTGCCCAGTTGCCACATCCCCAACAACTGGTCTGTTTTGACCCTAAATTTCCACCACAGAGTAGGCCAAGGGAGAAGAGGGAGGTAAGAAAAGATGAATGTGAATTTGTACAATTGAGGCCGAAAAACACGGGGGGGGGAGGCGTGGCTATTTCTGCCGTCGCATTCTGATCCACCATTATGCGATTAGACGCGACGGCGGTGCACCGGGGTTTCATCCTTCGGCGCACGCTTGCAAAGAGGACTTCTGGAGGTAATAGGCGCACGCCGGCGCGATCACACCGAATGAGTCCGTCGGCAGCCCATGGCAAACCATTTTCTAGTAGATCTTTGAAGGTACTTTTAACTGCGCATCTTCGGCAGCACGCCACGGGTTAGCCACGGGTGCGCTATGCTTCCCAGATGTTGCAGTGTGATCGCGCCCCGAGAATCCACCCAGCATTCGTGCTTTTTGCGTGGCAAATTCTCCGTGTGACCGGGGCCTTAGACTGGAGAAGTTCAACTATTTTTTTAAATGGGGTTTGGAGGAAGAAAAAGAGAGGTGTCCTCACAGGTGCATCTTGGGAGGGAAGTCTAGGCACAAAAGAAAAAAAAAGTGATGGAGGCAGGGGCAGGTTGCTGGTGGAGCTTTGCTTGCTTCTAACACAGCATGGATCATTACGCAAACAGAAAGGAATATCTTTGGGTGGGCAGACCTGTGTAGGCCTCTGAGTGGATAGTTTAAATCAGGGTGTATCCCTCTGACCATGGCCAGGACTCGAGTACTCTGGGAGACGTCTTAAGAAACTGTGGCCAGGGCACTGCCTCCAAAGACCTGCCCCACACATCCATGGCTTCTCCCCAAAGCGGTCTTTAACACCGCAAGTCCAAGAAGGCTTTCCAGCTTCCTGTCTGGCACTTTTCCTTCCTGGCAGCAGTCCTGGGGTTCGCTTTGCACGTCTTCACGAAAGGGGTCTTTGCGCTTCCTGTGGGGATAGGACGGATCCTTTCTTCCTTGCCCTCTTCAGCGTTTGTCGGCTGCTAGCTTCATTAGTGTAATTATAATTAGCACTCTGTCTCCCTTTTATGATACCAGCTGGACAGATTGGTCCTCTTACTGCGCAGATTGGCAGAAGAGTTGCCTACGCAGAGAGGTGGCAGGCACCACGAGATAACAGATGGTAGATTCAGGGCTTGTTGGCAATCAAGCAGGGGTTTTTTTGCTAATGACTTAATTAGTGATGCAAATTGTCAAATCAGTGTGAACATTGTTTTTATATTTTAAAAAAACCCTCTACCTAAATTAATTACCATAATTAAGTGGCAGGGTGTCAAGTGCGTGGGTTAGGGATAAGAGGTCCTGAGTTCCATATTCTGATGGCTGATGTATTAAAGGTAGTATTTGCAAGCTTCATTTTAACTAACCACCGCTATTGGCTGGAAGAAAGAAAGTGTGAAGTACAGATGTCAGGAGACGTTCGTCCAGAAGTTCGCTTGAACAGGCTGCCTGGAGATGGATGGGTGGTTTGCAAGAACAGTAGCTACTCATAGTAATTCCAGAGTGCAGGGGGCTTATACAGGATAACTTTGGGGTGCGTTGGACTTTAATTTAAACGGTATCAGTTGCTATCCCATTACGGTGGTGGTTGGTCTGAAAAGATCACATAACCATTTTGACGAGTCTGTTGAATCCATTTCCGGGTAACAGTTTGCACGTTTAAAACAAACACACTCATTTGACTCCATCTATATTATCTGTTTTCTGGATTTTTTAGTATAATCCTGAAAGGTCTGCACATACTAAAAAGGGACATTCGTTTCTCTTTTTGAGCTTGGCTGTCATGAAGAGTTGCTGTGTGTCATCTTTGTGGGAGCTTTCAAGGAAGAAGCATTCTGGGTTATTACTGATGAGAGATGGTCTGTTACGGGCCTGGGGTTGGTTGGTTGGTTTGCCGTCTTCTCCCATGTAACAAACGTTGGGTACTGTTCACAGGATGTGATGGTGGTTGGAGAACCAACTCTGATGGGAGGAGAATTTGGCGACGAAGACGAACGGCTGATCACCAGGCTAGAGAACACACAGTACGATGCAGCAAATGGCATGGATGATGATGAAGATTTCAACAGCTCGCCTGCTCTGGGGAACAACAGTCCATGGAACAGTAAACCTCCAGCAAACCAGGAGGCCAAGTCTGAAAACCCGACACCGCAGGCTTCCCAATAAGTGACCTGAAGCTACGTCCACTATTGCTTATAATAGCAGGTTGCAAATATTATCCCACAGCGTTCTTTTTAAAAACAAAAACCTTCAAGCTTTCCGCAGATACCAAACTTATTTCCAAGGTCTTTCCTCCTTTTTCAAGTTAGAAAAATAATTTATAAGCTTTCAGGTATTCAACTTGGAAGCGCTTGCACATAATTTAAACTGGCGCTGACCTCATTGGGGGAAAAAAGGAATATTTCTGGATGCATTGCAGTGCAGGATCTTTGCTACCATGATGTCCCTCCCCTTTACCCAATAAAGGCCATATTGTGCAGACAAGAATCTCTAGAGAGTTGTTTTTTGACATGGTAAACAGCATCCTGTTTTTCAACTTTTTCCTAGGTGTTTCGGTTCTGGAATACAATTTCAAAAATTCAATTTCTTTGCTTTTTAATTATGCTCCGAATCACTTCTTTCCCTGGTTAGCCTTTTTCCGTGGAGAAAGCAAAAGACGAGAGCCTTAGCAGGTGTCAGGAAACTTTAATTATGAAGAAACGGTGCAGCCCACTACAATTCTGGTTAAAATTCTTTGGGGGCACTGCAAAAATATCCCAAATTGACTGTGATTCAGTAATGGACTGTCAAAGATATGCCCCTCACGGTTGTATGAATGTAACTTTTATTATATTAATATAAAATATTATACATAATGTTCAGCTGTTGCAAATCACATCACCCCATGGCTCAGTGGGAGAGCATCTGCTTTGCATGCAGAAGGTTCCGTGTTCAGTTCTTGGTTTCGACAGTGAAGTAAGTGTCAAGTAGCGGGTGATGTGAAAGCCCTTTCCCTGAGATGCTGGAGAGCAGGGCAGACAGTGTTGACCTTGAGAAACCAGTGGTCTGACTCAGCAGATGGCAACTTCACCTGTGTTCATTACTACCCAAGTACAATACGCTTAAGACCAGAAACAGTGACTGTGTGTTACGATTCTGATCCAACAGAGCTCACGTAGAGAAGCCAGAGAAGCTCACGTAGCCAACTGAAACGCTGCCCATCAGTTCTTTGACAAGACTGCATTCCATGCCCCCTCCTTTTACCCCTGTGAACAGCTTGTCTACACAACTCTGACTGCTGGCCTGAGAAGGGGAATTTCACACACACAACTTGTTTGCATGCACAGTTTCCCATCCAACTGGGGATACATGGGCATACCCAGGGGTCATTTCATAGAAAAAGAGGTGCAGGAGCTCATTAGCATAACTTATTTGCATATGCCACACCCCCTGACATCAACGGAAGTGTGTCAGAAGGCACCACTGGACTGTTTTGGATTGCTAGCTATTGGGGAGGGGGGGAATGTGCAGATCTGTCCTCACAGAGGAGGGAGAGCTTGTGCCTGAATAAAACATGGTCTTAAAGGTGCCACTGGACTGTTTTGAACCGGGGGGGGGGGGGCTCTGCAGCTTACCTGGCTGCTTCTTGCTCTGACTGAGGGCTGCTGGGAGCAGGGGGTGGGGCTTGTTGCATGTGCCTGCCCCCTGGGCTCTTTACTTCCAGAGCTCCGCTCCTGTGCACTCCTGCAGGAAATGACCCCTGGGCATACCCCCTACTTGGATCAGGACTTGTGTCTTTACAGGAGCCCTCAGAGAAGGGATGTTGGGCCCAGAATCTTTTCCTAATGGTTTCCTAGCTCTTCTCCTCTATCCTTTCCTCCATTGATAGGCGCTGCCCTCCTTTTTTGTTTCTTTCCACCCATTTTGAAGGCCTGCCACTTTAAATCTGAGATTAAAACAAATCCCAGGTAATCATTTTAATTATTGAAAACATTGTGATGACTAAAAAAGTCTTTTTTTGTTTGTTTCCTCAAAGACATAACAAATATTTTTATGTGGAGAAAGATACTCAGTGCCCATGAGAATTTATGCTTTGTAAAATTGCTGTTGATCTGGATTTTGAAAGCCATGTAATCTGTTAATTTTGTGAGCTGTTTTTAAAAAAGGTTATTATTGGGAGTGGGGGGTGATTTTATTGTTATCTTACGTTTATTTTGTTGTTTCTTTTCACACTTATATTCTTGTATAATACTTTTGTAAAGCCCTCAAGCCAATTAATTTTTTTGACTCCAGTATATTTATGTGAAACTTTATAAAAGAAACTAATTTTTTTCATTTACATATAAATATGTTCAAACTCATCATGTAAAAGAAAAACACAGTGAGTCGGTGTGTTATATGATACAACTGTATTTTATGTATGCTTTGCCAATACGTGTGCCAATAAACTGTGTTAACAAAAGTGCTGTGTACCTTTCCTTGCCAACCATGTATACAATTAGTTGCTGTAGATTTTCCGAGTTGTATGGCCGTGGTCTTGACATTGTAGAACCTGACGTTTCACCAGTAACTGTTTCCTACACAATAATGATTTAGCCCTGCCCCACCTTCTGGAGTAGATATAAATTACCTGCCTACCATTTTCTTCTCACCTTGACACAGAGAGTACTCCATCTTTCTGTGTTATACCTCTGAGGATGCCAGTCACAGTTACTGGCGAAATGTCCGGTTCCACAATGCCAAGACTACGGCCAGGCAACCCAGAAAATCTACAACAGCTAATGAACTCCGGCCGTGAAAGCCTTCGACAGCATATTACATGTTTACAATAATTGTATGGTGTCAAGTGGCAGCCAATTGATGGTGATCACAGGACCACACTGCTTTCTGTGACGAACTGACCTCCAAAACCAGGATGCTTAGTGCATCAAAAGCAGAGAGCTGGGAGATTAGGGGTTAACGCCTCACTGTAAAGCACTCTGATTGACAGGCTGCTGCCTGTGTGCCACCCCCCCCCCTTCTCTCTGATTGATCAGCGCCAGCTGAGGAGAGTCTTATAAAATCTTGCCAGTCTCGTCAGAGTCAGTCAGTCATCTGGACTTTGGCTTGGCAGTTGCCAGTCAGGAGGAGTGTGTGCGTGTTGGTCTGAGGGAAACAGATGAGAAGTGAAGGGACACAACTCCTCGCCCTTACTGTGTACCAACACATTTGAGGACAAGTTCAAAAATCAGAACTTAAAGTCAAAGGGTCAGTTCTAGCCAGGGCTTTTTTTGTAGAAAAAGCCCAGCAGGAACTCATTAGCATAATAGGCCACACCCAACAGCAGAAACGCATTAGCGTATTGGGCCACACCCCTGACAGCACAGCTCATTGGCATATTAGACCACACCCCTGTGCCTTTGCTTGGCTTGCCCGGGCGCCCCGCGACTGCAGGGAGCCCGGGCAAGCCGGCCCTTGGAAGGAAGGGAAGACAGTTTAAACTGCCTTCCCTTGGCTTGGCCAGGTGCAACACAGCTGTGGGGAGCCCGGGCAAGCCCCCCCTTGGAGGGAAGGGAAAGCAGTTTAAACTGCCTTCCGTTGGCTTGCCCAGGTGCCCCGCAGCTGCGGGGAGCCCAGGCAAGCCGGCCCTTAGACAGGCCGGGAAAGGCACAGGAAGGCATTTAAATGCCTTCCCGATTCTTCCAGGGGTCCCCCGGCTTGCCCACCTCAAGAGTCGCTGGGGGGGGGTCGCTCTCCAGGCACGCAGGGGGTTTGGCTGTAGTGGGCGTGGCCAGCTCTGAAGCCAGCCGGAACTCTGTTCCTGTGCGTTCCTGCCCCAAAATAGCCCTGATTCTAGCTGACTTCCATTTATTCACAGTCTCTAGAACTGGGGTTTAGGTTTGCCAGAAGGGGCTGGGCAGCTGGTTGGGAAACGGCCAGCCTAGCCCAACAGAAAAGGGTGATCGCTCCCAGGAAAGGGATATGATATTCCTTACCCCAGTTATTCAGAGGGTTCAACTCAGAAAGGGACCACTGGTTTGAGAAGTGAAAAGGGAAACTGTCTTAGACTCCTCAAGACTACAGAAAGGGAAAGTTATAATCCCAAAAGGGAAGTATTGATACACAGGAAGAAAGTTCGAACTTCCAAGAAACTAAGATATTTTTTATGAAACTTTATTAAGGCACATTGTTGCTGAAAGAAATCTACAAGACAAACCAATCTCTCACAGTGAAGAACCGAGTCTCTTAGAGTTTGTTGCCTGTTCAGAATATTATAATTTGTATAATCAACAATAGTTACCTCAGCTTCTCATCCCCTGCCCTGTTCGTGATTCTACTCTGCCTGTTCAATAAAATCAACCTTTTTGTTTCAGCTTTACTTTATGTCAGGTGCCATGTCCAAAGGGTTATATACCGTAAGAGGGCTCCTGCGGAGTTCCAATAAACCTCTGGCCTGGCTGGGCGAAAACCAACTAACTTCTCTATCACAGGGTGGGACACACAGAAAATTATAATTCTATAATAAAAACACACTACAAAGAGGCTGCCCAACCAGAGTGGGGAACAGTGTTTTGGCGGGGAAATCTGCCTCACAGAGAAGAATAAGCGGGGGTCCATCATACTTTCAAGGCAAGAGATGAGCAGAGGTAGTTCACAGGAAGAAAGTTCGAACTTCCAAGAAACTAAGATATTTTTTATGAAACTTTATTAAGGCACATTGTTGCTGAAAGAAATCTACAAGACAAACCAATCTCTCACAGTGAAGAACCGAGTCTCTTAGAGTTTGTTGCCTGTTCAGAATATTATAATTTGTATAATCAACAATAGTTACCTCAGCTTCTCATCCCCTGCCCTGTTCGTGATTCTACTCTGCCTGTTCAATAAAATCAACCTTTTTGTTTCAGCTTTACTTTATGTCAGGTGCCATGTCCAAAGGGTTATATACCGTAAGAGGGCTCCTGCGGAGTTCCAATAAACCTCTGGCCTGGCTGGGCGAAAACCAACTAACTTCTCTATCACAGGGTGGGACACACAGAAAATTATAATTCTATAATAAAAACACACTACAAAGAGGCTGCCCAACCAGAGTGGGGAACAGTATTTTGGTGGGGAAATCTGCCTCACAGAGAAGAATAAGCGGGGGTCCATCATACTTTCAAGGCAAGAGATGAGCAGAGGTAGTTTTGCCATCACCTTCCTCTGCATAGAAACCCAGCTCTTCCTTGGTGGTGTCCCATCCAAGGGCTAACTGTGGCCGACACTGCTTAGCTCTCAATATCTGATAGTGGTTGAATCGGCATTTGTCTTTTCCATCAGTGTCCCAGCCTTCTCGTTTTCA